CTGCTACATTTACTTGCAAATTTTGAGAAGAAAATGTCAAAAGGTGATTACACATTGCAAAGAAGGGAAACACCCACATTTCTTTTACTACCACTCTTAAGAAGTATGTGTGTGGGAACAGAGTATACTTAATTCCTAAAAGTCACAGTAGGACAGTAGGTTGTCCACAAATTATATCTGACTTCCTGAGAAAATTCTGAACCCCTGGAACACATTACTATACATGTAAAGTTATACTAATGAATACTGCAGGTACTCTAGATTGTAACTTTAAAGCACATGTAGCGCAACTATTGCCTTCTATTTTCTTATCATTGACAGAAATCTGAACTGCAAAATGTAAAGTTCCCACTATTTGTGGAAAGCCATGCAATTGTCCTCAGGTCCCTTATCAGCAGAAATAAGCTTGCTCACATAGTTCAACAAGTAGTCAATGAATAGATCTGGAGGAAAAGGACAAGTCCATGTTGAATGCTCTTGCCCCCAGTCTCAATTAAGTACTACATGTAAGAGCAGAGCAACACTGAAACCTTCCTAAAAATGCTCCAAAGGACAGTCCCTGCCTGAGAAAGCCCAGGATGCTGTTGGGGAGACATGCTGCTTGGACCTACCACTTACAGTTCTCTTAATTTTGGCTTCTAATTCATGAGATTTTCCCTTTCTACAACTGAAAATTTTTATCTGTGAGGGCAAAACATGAAAAAACATTTTGAAAACAGATTTATGAGATTTCTATCTAGATGTCAGTCTTGCATGAGTCCACTTTCCATCACATCAAAGGCTTCCCAGTCCCCCAGCCAGAATCACTAAGTATATGGGCTTTGAGACATTTCACTTGTACAGCCCTCAAAGAGAGAATGGGTTTCCTTTATTTTTTAGCTATTCTAATAATTTATTGGCCATGGCATAATTGTTGCTTATGGTGGTCTGAATGCCCAAAGTATTGCTTTTTTTGGAGAGGTTTAGTAGCAAAGCAACCATTTTCATCTCCCTGGAAGCTCTCTCTGTAGTTATATTATTATTCCATTCATGGGCTGTTCATTTGAAACAGAGAAGGCTTCTGTCTTTTAACAGGTGCTATCATTTCAAGACAGAATGACAAAGGAGCTTCTGAGAACTACTAGGCTGGAGTGAGGTTATTGGTGGGTAATTTTATATATACAACTGCTCTTTAGAAACTCAATAGTACTGAAATATCACCTGAGAGGGCAGGACTATAATGTCTTATGTTTTTTTCCAAAGAGGTACAGAAGAGCACCAAATTAAAAGCTGAGGAACAAAGCTGAGCATGGTGACAACATATATGTTTAGCAAAGGCTAAATGATAATCTTGTGGGTCTATGTCCTTAGTGCTTCATGTGAGAGACTGGTGAGGAGGATAAATTCATGTTTGTAACCTTCTCCATATCTAGTGCAAAGCAATGATGTAACTGCATTGAAGAATACAATTACTTGGGACTTTGTCTGAAAACAAATGAGGCAACAGGAGTCTCAGCAAGTTCAATAAAGAGAAATGCAGAGTCCTGCAGTTTGGAATTAATAGCACAGTAGATGCTGAGGATCAACCAGCTGGGAAGCAGCCTTGCAGAGAAAGATCTGGGATACTGGTAGGCAAGTTGGACATGAGTCAGCAATGTGCCCTCAGAGCAAAGGTGGCTAACAGTATCCTGGACTGCATTAGGAAAAGTGATAACAGGATGAGTGAGGTGACCCCTTCCCTTCTTAACCCAGGTTACAGCCACACCTGGAGTGCTGGGTCCTGTTCTGTGCTTTCCAGTACAAGGCAGACATGGATGGACTAGAACAAGTCCAGCAAAGGGCCATAGAGATGTCTAAGGGACTTTCAGTGGTATCTAGTGAAAGTGCAAGAGGCAACAGGCACAAATTTATTGCAAGAAATATTTTAACAGAATAAAAACATTTTTCTCAGCAAGGGTAATTGAACACTGGAACAGGTTGCCCAGAGAGATTGTAGGGTCTTCATCCTTGGAGGTACTTGAAACCTGACTGAACATAGTCCTGAGCACCCTGCTTCAGTTGGCCCTGCCCTGAAAGGGTAGTTGGACTAGACAGTCTCCTGACATTGGTGTTGACCTATCTATTCTGTGATTCTGTATAAAACCAGGTCAGTCTTTATAGATGTTATATTCTTACTTGAATGCACTATACAGTGAAAATCTGAAGTATGGAAGGCTAGAGAGAGCTGTGGGAACTTGACCAAAGCACCACCAAACAGCTTCAACTAAGTAAACATATTGAATTCAGGTTATGTAAAACCTTTCCTTTGTAGCAAAACATTAATTGGAAAAGCTCAATTATGGTCTTTATAAATATCCATGTAAAGATATGTTTAATGATTTCTTAGGCTGAAATAAATAATCTCAAAACATTTGAGGTAACATCAAAACCTCTGCAACATTTCCCTGCTTCTAGCATCTAAATAAGAATGAATTATCTATTTTTAAAATACAAAAAACCTGCATTGTTAGAAGCTATCTGCATATCCACCCACCTCTATTCACTGAAAACCTGATCATTAAAAAGGTGTGTGGGGAAAGTCATTCCAGTTGAATGCCTTACCACCATGAAAGCTAATTAAACTCAAGGCAATCATTTGCTTTCTAGTTATTGATGCCCTCTAAAGTAGAACCCCCTGCTTTCCCCCAACACATAGATTATACTAAAAATCTGTGCACTGAAGAATAGGAAATTAGTAAGGAACTTGAAAAATGCATTATGATTCTGATCATAATAAATGATTGGCTTCCATGTATGTTTCATACAAGGCCTAAAAATGCAAACATTACAGGTTTTCCTTATATAAAAATAAAGCTGATTTTTAAAAGTTCATTTGATACAGAGAAAGCTGTGCATTACTGTTGCAAATGTAATGTCTTACTAGAGGGTCCTAGAATTTCTTTTGCATACCTTAAGCTGTGAATTAATGACATGGAAATAGACTGTACAGAACTTTATGTTGCAGCTCACACAATCTTCAGTCTATGGAGAACATCAGCACAATGACCTTTGGCTTTCTTCTGTATGAAAACTATTACCTTTATTCTTTTTAATCACAGCAATCCTTTAATGTTAATTTCTGCCGTCTGCATGTCAAGAGTGCTCAGGCTAACTCCTAAGCTACCTGTGGCCAACCATTTAAAATGTTAATACTTTAAAGTAGTCAGAATCTCAAGTTTAAATTTAGTAATTCAACGTAGCATCCATCCTGTGAGTTAGGTCATGAGTCCTAACCTGTGATTAAAACACACTTAACAGAACTCTTTCTGAAAGAAGTCCATGCCTCTGCCTCTAAGTCCACTGGAACCCTAGGAATGCATCTCTAAATGAAGAGCTTAAAAAGATTATTAACAATAAGTGGGCAAAAAGTTTGATTCTTAATTGTTCTCAATGCCTTTGAAAAGTTCCTTGTTAAAGAAAAGTGGTTTTAACTTACAGAAAAGCACAGCAGCTAAGTGAAAACAAAATTTGCCTTCTCAAAAAACGGGTCATTTTAAAATTTAAAATGACTAATTGTGGATTTAGAAACATAAAATACAGGCATGCAAATATTTTGAACTTTTTTTTTTTAAAACAGGTTTTTCATCCTTACTAAATCAGAAGATCTTGGTGAATAATGCTATCCCATTGCTATTTTGGTACAGCAACAATGAATCACCTCTATTATTTAACACATCCATTCTTAAGAATGCTGGATTACCATGATTTGTGCTGGCATTGGTGACTGGCATGAGTGTCAGCCAGAATTATATAGCAGTTGGACCACGAACGTGAGGATTTTCAAGGGCACAAATGGACTCCTGCTGCTCAGTTCACATAACTATTTCTGGACACTTATCACCTAATAGCTTGTGGTTTTCAAAACTCATCTTAAACAAAAAGGAGCACCTAATATACTGACAAAGTCTCCTAAGTCTGTCCTTGTGGAAAATGTCAATGTTGTAAAGGGAAAATGAAAAGCTGTCTTGGAATTTGCTACCAAATTCCAAGCAAAAAATGAAAGATTTTGTTTCAAAATTTTGCTACCATCTCCCAGTAATTCTAGTTCAGGTGTCTTGTGCCACTCCTCTCTCTTAAAGCTTAGTGTCTCTGGACTATCTTCTCCTAGCACACACCAGACATCCTCCCCAAGCCTGCACAGATGCCCCTGCTAATGAAATGTCATGACAAACAGGACATAGATGAGAAACTGTCCAAAAGTTAGAGATAGGAGACATGCAAACTACATTTTTATTAAGTGGCTTATGCCTTATTTGACTTCTTATGAACATAGAAAGAATTATTATTTGAATGTAAAAATGTATATTTTTACAAATCTTTTCCAAGTCTCTGTCAGTACCTTGAATGCATCGAGAGGCACTGCACATGCTTTCCCTCCTCACCCCTGAGTCTGGCTGCTGAAGACTAGCTCTGACACTGCACAACTGTGCAACCTGTGATTAAAGTGTTGTGCAAGAAAGAGTCAGGAGAAGTCTTGTTAAGCACATCTTCCTTCACTTGGGAGCTACACTAAAGCTTAGACTTCATTGAAGCCCAAATCACATTACTGGTATGCCTGTGTCTGGCCAGGTACCTTATTGATCCTGAACTCACAGATTTGACTCCTTGTTTTGACCTTGGACCTGACTTATCAATACAGACTCACCTGGAGATCTGAACTCTTGGTCTGACCCTGTTTACTGTCACTGGATCTGCTCTGCTCTCTTTGTTCAGGTACTGGGGGACTGTTCCTTCATGGGTGATGCCACTGCCCTGCCTGCCTGGCTGTCAACTCCCAGCTCAGCTGTGGAGCAGCTCACTCTTGCTTCTCCTTAAGTGTCAAATTCAGTTGTCAAATGAAAAGAAAAAAAATCAAATTGCTTTTCAGACAGCACTTGATGAAAGGTGGGTGGTTCTTTCTATCAATGTTGCTGTTAATTCAGCCTGAAAAGTTTTACAGGAACATGGTATGTTCACATGTGTAAGTATATAAAGACCAGTACTCACGCAGAAGTTGTCTGCATGTCATGCCAGCTTTTGCTAAAGTTCTGCTTCAGTTCATTCATCAGACTTATGCCAAGCTTTTGTTTAATTTCAACCAGGTGCTTTTCTTTGGCTGCTAGTACTTGCCGCAAAGTTGAAATTTCATCCTCTAGCTGAGAGAAACAAAGAAGGAGAAAATGTTAGCTTGTTCTCACAGAATGCTAAACACATAAAATGTTAAGAGGTTAAATGAATCTCATATAAATTTGTGGTTTTCATAAGTGACTAGAGAGACAGAGTCCAGTGCTTGTGGAAGTCACAAAGGCATGGCCAGAACAGAGCTGACTCTACATTAAATTAATGTATCAAACTGTGTCACCTATATGTACCATCATACACATGCATTTGATATGAGAGAGAATTCTCCAGTAAGGAAGCGACTTGACCAAGATCTACTTTAGGGCATTAGGAGTCTCAAACATCAGCTTTTCATTCACTGGTAAAATGGGAATGGGCAGGACAAAGAGAAGACTGGATAATTCAGGCAAATATCTGTCTTTGAGTGGGCAGGCATTTAATTTCATATTTGCAGGCTTTTAGTCTTCCAGTCCTGAAAGAAACAGATGCAAACTCTTAGGAACATGTGAAAAAAATAAAAAGACAAATTGCATGATAACATATGACTTGAGAGTATCATAAAATGTTAGAACCTTGTCATGTGAGCTTTATTTATGCATTTTAGGTCCTACATATGGACTGTTAGCATGACTGAACAGCTCCTACCCAAAGCACAGAAGCACTCAGAAGACAGTGCAGATTGGCTTTTTTAGCACTCCTAGTCATGAACCAAAGTGTAATTTCAAGTTGTAAAGATGCCATTCAGCCCAAATAGAGGGATATAATTCTCCCTGCAGTGGACATTTTTTGAAACATTTAAACAAAGCCAGTGCTTTAGCAAGGCAAGGACCAGAACACAGAACTAAGACCACAGAATCATCCTGCCACTGGCTCAAGACCCAGCTCCTTGGGCAGCACTCCTGAAGCGAGCACGTTTGCGTTCTTCATTCGGAAGCCTCTCGTGACAATCTATACAAACAGCATTCAGAGGTACTGAAGCTAACAAGGACAAGAGACACCAGAGCAGCTGCCTTTCACTTCAGGTTCAGAAATTCCCTTACCAACTGTGTTCCTTCCTCCATATGTTAATAGGATAACATATGGCAGTGTATCTGATTACCATATGCTAAGTTCTCTGAAACCACAGTCTCCCTGTGATTTAACTCCATAGGCTGCAAGGAATGATGCAAGCACCAGCTGAAACAGTGCTGACCTCCAGGGCTATATTTAGGATGTCAATACCAACATTATTTCTATTTAACACACTCATGCATGAATTCTCCTTCCCTGTAAAACTGATTGCAAGCTCATTGTTCTTGGAAAAGTCTCATCCTTGAATCCCCCAACTATCAGTTTCTCTTTTGACACTACCTGAATTATACCAGCAGCTCAGGAATTAAACAGCAAGACTATGAACAGAAAGCAAAAATCATGACCTGAGTGATGCAGATATCAGTATTCACCAATGCCTGTGATGCCAATACTTCACCTGTAAAATACACAACAATCTAAATTGCTTTATTCCTCCCCATGTCCTTTATACTCCATTATATTCATAACCTGCACATGAAATGCTGTTAAGAGGTAGTTGTCAAGAGTCTCTCTTGTGAGAGGATAACTGGTTAAATGCTTATAGAAAGAAATCACAAATGTCAGCATTCCTCAGCAGCAGTTCAGAGCACCCTTTAGTTGTCTGCCACCCACAGCAAACCCCTTAGTGCACGTCTGCACAAGTAACTGTGCTAAAGAACTTAACTTACATTAATACCAGCATGCTTACGTGTACTTAAACATTAATGCTTTCCATATGGGCTAGCACTAGGCTGATCATTAGGTACCTGGATATGTAAACCTTTGAGGGCTTCTATTAAAATTACTTTCCATCTGTTCCATTGAATAGACTTCTAAAGCTGTAAAGCCCTAAGCAAGCATTAGCCATGTGCTCAATGGCATAAGTATGAACAACATCTTTGCTGTATTAAAAATAATCAATTATTTTTCTTTACCAATCAGTTTTGAATTGATAAAATCCTCCTCAAGTTCCATCATTTTGAAATAATGACAGACACAAATCCACCCTCAAGTACTCAGATATCAGTGACAGAAGACTGAAGTAGGTAGAAAGGATTAGGGACTTATAGTAGGATCTTGAAAAGCATTTAAGCAGGTTATGTGCCTAACTCTCATGGAAGTCAGACATCACCTGCTTGGGCATTTTTTAAAAGTCCACTCATATAAATGCAGGCTCCTTTATGAAACTTAAGTCAGCAGAAATACAAGCTTCTAGTCCTCATGCTTCTCTTCTTTCTTAAGTGCAACAGAGTCAGAAGAATGTAGATGAATTACATAGGGACAAAGCTCCCCTCTCCCTTTTTATGGGAACAGGAATCAGAGTTAACAGCTGTTTTTCTTCCCTCTGTTATTGTGTGGGACATGTAAAAGCAAGGAGAAGAGATGACCACCCAAGGCATTATGATTCCCATGGTTGGTTGACAGGAATAACATGTAAATCACAAAGGTGAGAACTCCAAGGAAAAAAACCATAATTACAGACAGATCTCTCTGAAATCTGGGACCAATTAATAATATGTCAGAAAGACAGTGAGGACTAGCACACAAATACAAAGCAATATTTCCCCTTGTTTTGCTCTTTTTCATTATTTTAGGGCAAATTGTATGTTTTACAGGGCTGAACATCTTTTTAAGATATTGGCATGCCTGAAAAACATCTCATCCCAGTTATTACTCAACATAGAACCCTTCCCAGTTTTCCCAGTAGATGCCCACAAAACAGCTCATAAGAAAAACCAGAAAGTACTTATTCAGTAAAATGGAGCATTTGGATAAACTATTATTATTAAAAATTATGTCAGTTAGTATTATCTATATTTGGTGATACACCTGATACTACGTAAAATGTGGAGGTGAAAAGAATCAGCTATTGGTTGCAATAATACTGATGAATGGCTTAAAAGGCAAACTGAATAATAAATTGAGTACTTCTTATGCTTGTCTTAGGCATCAAGGCAGTAAGAGATTAAAATATTATCATGACTCAAGAGAAAACAGAAGCCAACACAGTTAAACATGGGGTAGATTATTTCCTTTTCCCCCACCACTACAGGACCCTAGTGTGTGATGGCCTGATCTGACCGTCTTCACAGCCCTCCACACCAGAGGCAGAGGCTCTGAAAGAGGTAAAAGCCACCACAGAAAAAACAAGTGCTAACTTTAAGCCAGATCCAGTGCACAGAGCTGCTCAAGTACCTCTCTGGGTGCAGCACAGAGGGCAGGAACAAGTGAAGATGGAGAAGAGAGGAAGGCAGTGATCAAATAAAGCAGCAGATGCAGTACATCCATCCATGTCATGTACCACAAATATACCTCAGTACTTGAAAGGAAGGCAGACATGACTGTTTAGGAGGGAGAGCTACCTGAGGGACTGGCTTTGTCAGGTTAAAGAAATAAAAAGGGAGTTATGCAGCCAATACCAGCAGCATGATAATATGCTGACAAAAACTTGAGGAGGAGCTGGCAACTACAGCAAAGCCAGCAGAGAAACCAAGGCTGCAATCCCCAGCAGGGAGGTGCTGGAGCAGTGCTGTCTCAAGGTACTCCCATGGCTCCTTCAAGCTGGTACCCCTGTCTTCAGTTACACCACCACAATTCCCCTGCATCTCTCACTAGCTCACAGCTCAGCACTTCTTGGTCATGCTGCCAGAATCAGCCAGGAGGCAACACAGGTGAAAGTAGTAAGGGAGTAGGAGGTGCCAAAGGTCACTGCCACAAAACCTCTCACATTGCAGAGCCACATGGCTTTTAAACACTCTGGGTTCTCAGGGCAGGCTCACACCCTGCACCATGGCAGGTACCCCTGTGGCAGGCTGTACCATGTATCTGCCCACCCGTGCTAGAACTGAACATCAACTGTCTGCACTGCTTCATCCTGTAGGAAAAGCTGGAAAGCATGTAACAGAAAAAAATGTAATAAGGACCATCTGTATCAGTAGTAGGAAAAGCAACTACGAGAAGGTACTTGATAACAGAAGTTCACTTTGTTAGGAAGAAAATAATATTTTCTTTCATTTCATTGGCTTTCAAAAATCCACCACAAGATGCATGTTCTCTATAACATTATTTCACATAATCCTTTTTGTCAGAAGACACAAAGAAAGTTACAGCAAACATAGTGACAAACTGTCTTTCAATGAGGTCAACCCATGGGACCCTTAAATTTTGATCAGCTATTGTATTTAGTAAACTAGTGATTGTTGTTGAATTGTTACACCTTTTCAAAACTACTATTATAACTTATAATGTTATTATATATAATTTAGTATATGTATACTAAAATGAATCAAATATTTGTAAGAAAATTTGAGCACATTACTCTGGTAGCCTTTTAAAGAAAGCAGTTGTAAGTGTGAGCAGAATAACATAGCACAAAAATAACATGCAAAAATCATATAGCTCACATTTTACACCTCCAGGCTTAGCACCTGTTGATTTATAAGTTTTCCCTTGAGTGAACAGCACCCAGACACATCAGGGACATTCATAAGTAAATTTGGCCATAAATTTGCAGAAAAAAAGGCATTAACATCTTTCCTCAAACTGGAAACATACGGTAACACAGACAGTTGAACTTAGAACCTGTGCATCAGATAGATCAAACCAGATAGCTGCTTTTGTGAAGGTATGGGGAGGGGGAAGACTGCAAGGAGTAAATGACTACTTTGACAAGGGTAATGGAAGGACAACTGACAGCGGTGAGCAAGATAGCTCAAAATCTCAGCCCCCATCATGACTCAAGAGTCATTGTACCATGCTCCTCACAGCGAGGAAGGAAGAGAAAAAGAATATAAATCTGTTCTGTTAACAAGCTTCTGACCTTATGTAAAATTTTCGGGCTACAATTTTCTGCTATTATTCCAGAGTCAGGCTGACCTCTGTAAATTCAAATGACTGTTAGAAGTTTCTGTAAGAGTTACTCATTTTAGCTGCATTGTAGAAATTCCAAGGCTTGATTAGAGTCAGAGCCCTGCTGTGTTAGCCAGACTACACATACAAGAACAGACTTGGTCCATGCTCTGAGAAGCTTCCAGTACAAAGAGACTGCTAGAAGGGGAATGGGAATAGAGGATACAAAAAACCTGTCAGAAAACCAGTAGTGCTTGTTCCCCTCCTAATGTTGGAGAGGGAAGGAGAAAGAGTATGAAGACAAAGAATATGTACAGCAGATACACAACACAGAGATGGAAACTATTTTTTCTGTTTAAATGCATGCACAACAGGTGCTCTCAACAGCTCCCCATTATATCAGCTATTGATAGCAGAATTAAGAATGATTTTTACCTTTTAGAACAGTAAAAAAAGATGCTTGCTCCTGCAGAATCAAACAAGTATTACATAACACATAAGGACATGAAAGAAAATAAAACTATCACCAGTGGAGCAGAAGGAGCTTGAAAGTAAAGACTAACTGCTTTTCAAAAGGAAACTTTAGCCAATTCCCACAGAGGTTTCTTTCTGAAGGAGGCAAGGTCCTACACATTTTTTAACAGTCTTTTCTAAGAACCATAAGCCTCATTTAAGTTTAGACTTTATTCACTCTAAATTCAAGTTTTCCAAACCTTTTTTAGCATAATTATCAGTTTTATTTTGGTTTTAAGCATAAGCTGTATGCCAGTAAACTGCTGTGAGCAATTCAGAAAATAATTCCTAGGTCAGTCAAGATCATAATATTTAAAAGGCAATCTCTCACTTGTGTGTTAGTACATGAATTAAAACATTTCTAGCATGAGCCACCAAGAACTCTCTGCTCCCACAGGAATGAGTAAGCAGGATGGATGCTCAGAAACTCTTGAGATTAATTCTGTTGTGAGGCATTCTCAGATGGCTGCAGGAAGTCCTGGCTTTTTTTCATTCCTCGTTTCTATCTGCATATTAAGTCCCTTTCACCAGAAAAGAGAATATAATCACAGAATGGCTGAGGTTGGAAGGGACCTCTGGAGAACATCTGGTTCAGACCCTGCCTAAGCAGGTTTACCTGAGCATGTTGCCCAGAACTGTACTCAGATAGCTTTTTAATATCTTCAAGGATGGAGACTCCACAACATCTTGGGGCAATCTATACCAGTGCTCAGTCACACTCACATTAAAAATATGTTTTCTGATGTTCAGAGGGAACTTCCCATGTTTCAGTGTGTGCCCATTGCCTCTGGTCCTGATGAAAACCAGGATTAATGAGCATCCCAACCCCTGATTCACTGCTATGTGATGAACTGAACATGTAAAGTTTCAGCTTCCTTCTTATTATTTTCAGATGTGATAGGATCAGCAAAGAATAAAGATTAACTAGTAACTCTGAAATACAAGGCTTGATAAAAGATTAAACTGAAAAAACAGTCTTTTATTTCACTAGAAAATCCTAAATCAGCACTGTAGGTAAAGGACTTGAGAGTCATTAAGAATGCAGCTTCTTATTTAGTATCACAACTTAATATTAATTTGAATATTCCTATTAAGGCAAAAACAACTGTTCCCCTTCATACAGCTGTGATTTCTGTTATTTGATGCCCTTCTGAAACCATCATTAGCTTTTCCTCTGAGCACCACACGAAGAATCTTTTTTCATCAGGTGACATAACCACTGTAACAACACCACCACAGATCTAATATGAACAACTTTCACTCTTTATCAAGGAAGGTTTATAAATAAAGATACATCTTGTCTAAAATGATAAGGTGTGTTTAACTTTCTCTGTACAATCACCTAATAGAAGATATTTAATCTTCAGAAAATACATAAGGAAATGAATTGCTTCATATTTGTGATAGTTTGAGCTGAAGTAGAGTTAACTTTCTTCACAGAGGCTAGTATGGGGCTATGTTTGGGTTTTGTGCAGAACACAGAGTTGATAATGCAGAGATGTTTTTGTTATTGCTGGGCAGAGCTTACACAGAGTCAAGGCCTTTGCTGCTTTCCATACTGCCACACTGGCAAGGAAGTGGGGGATGCATGGGAGACTGGGAGGAGACACAGCTGGAACAGGTGACCCAAACTGACCAAAGGGATATTCCATACCATATGACATCATGCTCAGTATATAAGGTGGGAGGAAGGAGGAGGAAGGAGGGACATCTGGAGTGATGGCATTTATCTTCCCAAGGAACCGTTACGCGTGATGTGCCCTGCTCTCCTGGAGATGGCTGAACACCCCCTGTCTGGGGGAAGCAGTGAATTAATTCCTTGTTTTGTTTTGCTTGTGTGTGCAGCTTTTGCTTCCTCTATTAAACTGTCTTTATCTCAACCCATGAGTTTTTGTAGCTTTTACCCTTCTGATTCGCTCCCCCATCCCATGGGTGGGGGAGTGAGTGAGAGGCTGTGTGGTTCTTGGCCGCTGGCTGGGGTTAAACCACGACAATATTACTGCAGCCTAGAATAATTTTAATAAAAAGGAATAGAATACCTTTATGATGTGTAGTCCATCCTAGAATTAATATCTTCCAGTTTAAGGAAGTAGAAATGGTAACAGTCACAGAAATTCAAATTCATTACCTTGGCTAGCTCAATCTTTAACTCTTCTTTTTCTTCTTCAGAAATCATATTGGTGAAATCAACATCAGTGACCACATCTTCATCTGCTTCATGCAACGACTGGGTTTCCAACAGGCCTGAAAGAGTTGAAAGGTCAAGACAACCATTATTAATTATTTCAGATATGGTATTGGCCTCCTCTAAAATCTAAGAATGATATAATATTCATCCACTAGGAAAAGGACAAAGAAGAAAACAACCTTATCCTGGTAAAGGTCATTTGGATTCTGCTTTTTTTTGCTTCTGAAAAGCTATTGGAAATATCAGATGGTAATGTCTGCCCAGAAGCAATTTAATATGTGTAAGCACCTCTCATTCCCAGAAGGCAATCACCTTGGATCCCACTAATCCCTGATAAGGCATTTCCTTACTGCTAATAATATGGAAGAGAAAAAAGAAAGCTTTTTCTTCAAAATAAGAAAGCTGGTTAATGTGGATCACTGATGCGAATAATAGTAACAGCACACTGAACAATAAAGGTCGTATACTATTGAGCCAAGTTTGCTTTAAAAGTACCTCTGATTGCAGCAATTTGTAACCTGACAGATGTACCCAGCTGGCAGAAGTAAATGCCATAGTGTTTGAATTTGCTAAATGTTAGCAAGAAGCATACCTTGACTGCTCCATCTCAACCTGTGCAGGGTGAACAAATACACTGGGTGTCCAGTTGCTTTCTTCTCCTGCATGTCCAAGACCAGGACCAGTATGCACAATAACCAAGAGTGCACACATAAGTGTTTGCAAAACCTGGACCTGCCTGGTATAACATATACAGATGAAACCAAGTATATCCTATCTTCCAGTTATTCAGTAAAGAGAAGATTGCTGGGGTTCCAGCCACTAAGAGTCTCTCATTCTTTATGGCCTGTAAACAAAACAATGCAAACCATGTGATAACATTCTCGTTCTCTTGGAACTCATTTTAAAGTTCTAGATCTGTTTTTGTTGTGGAAGAAAAATCTCCTCCAGGCTACACCTGGGACGGTACTTCTCCATTTATTTCAGTTCTTTAGCAGGGTAATCAGCCATCTCCACTGACTCCTCACACCTGTAAACTGCTTAATACAGAAGAGAACAATTTCTTTACTGGGTCCACAGAGGCCTATATACTCTATTACACAGAGATTAGAACATAATTTAGTTAAGTTTTGGCAGTAGGGAACAGAGGTTACAAGCAGCTAATCTGTTGAAATTGAGTACTTTACATTTTCATGCAGAAAACTAAACTACCTCCAGTTTTCTGTTATTTCCTCCACCTAGAGTCCCCCAGTGTACCTGGATTTTCTCCTGTTTAACAGAACAGAACTGATTCGATTCATACCATCAACTTCACTGCAGAGCACAATGGGGTGAGCTCAGCCTTGTTAATTACAACCTTCCCTGAGTGGGAAGAGCAGCAACACAGGTGCTGAACCCCTGCCTGGCACCATATGCAGGAATAGAACACCACCCTTGAGCACAAAACCTTTTAAAAAATCTGAAAAGCATATAGAAGTAGTTGATATCTTAGCTATTACCCAAATAGCAGCTTGCCAGGAAAAACCTAGATTGCTGAAGTCACAACAAAAGAAAAGCACGTTTATCCAGTAGGAATATTCCAAAATCACCTTTATTAACACCCCTCCATATCTAAACAGAAATGTTGTTTGGTATTTGTTTGCGAATTAATAGTGTTGCTATGGGAATCAAGCTAAACTTAGTCCCCACAGTCCTGAAGGCAGTCTCTTTTTTTGTGGATGGAGGAGCAGCAGTACAGGGCAGCCTTTGGAAATGCTGGGATGAATTTCAGAGGCAACAGATTTAAGGCTGAAAACCCTTAAGAGAAGCCTTGGAGTAGATATGAGATGAAGTGATCTTCAAGTAATTGGTCTTTGAGCTAAAATGAAGGCAGATCTGTGCTCAAGGGACATCATCAGTTTGAGAATGGCTAGGTAAAGAGGCCAGAATTGCTGGCTAGATAGAGATGGAAGCCAACATGGGCCAAATCACCAAAACCAATTGAATAATACTTAAGTAGATCCAATAGTCAAGTTTAAACTTCAAGACTGAACTGAAATTACAATCCATTCCAAAGAAGCACGCACATGCCAATCTTCTGTATGATCCTCCACAACTTCATCCAGTGCCAGTCCCAATTCTTGTCTTTTGCTTCTTATTTTAAGCCCTCTGACATCTAGTCTGATCCTCCTGTCTCTACTTTCTTGCTCAAGCCACTACCAGAGTCTTCTCTCATGATCACTGTCCCTCTGCAAAGATTTCTCTTCCGTCACCTCACAGTTCCAGTCTGAACATCTCTCCACCATACTGTAGGTCACAGTCTTCTTTAAGCCAGTCTCAGTTCTGAAATTTCCTCACATGAGACCTATCACAAGCAACCTCTTCTCTCACTTCTTCCTTGCTATTCTCAGTCTCTGGCTTTCCTTCACGATCTTTATTTTTTTCCCCAGCCACACCTAGTAGCTCTCCATCCTGGACTTCACCTTCTGCTGCCCTTCTACTCTGTTGAAGACAGCTTCACTGATACCCTTGCACCATTTGTTACTGACCACTTATGTCCTGAACCAAGATTAGCAGCACAGGTAGGGTGCTTCTGTTCTAGTGCTAGGCCATCTGAACTTCTCAAGACTCTTTTCCCCACTTGAGCAACTGAAAGTCACTTCTGGAAAGGTCTCTTCAGTGTTGCCTTGTGCTACCCTTACAGACCACTTCTCTAACTTGCCTTAGTCTTTAGCTTATGAAAGAGAGGAAGGAAAAACATCAGGAAGACAACAGCCTTCCTGAGGCAGAGGAGATCTCAACTCTCTCAGTCTATTGAGAATGTAAACATAAAACCTGTCCCTGTGATTTCTATCCTAGAGAATTTAGCAGCCACATGAGCAATTCTTTAAGAATCAAGTCATGAGGTAGGATCCTATTGTGTTTAATCTAGCTAGACCTTTTATTAAACATACTTAATCCAACAATTCAGGAAAACACACGAAAGGATGAGTTGATTCAGCTAAATGGTAAGAGCTGAGTCCTAGAATCTAAGTATTTTTCTACACTACATAGAAGAGGCACAGATTTAGGCATCTAAAAGCCATAACTTAAAGATAACACTATGTATATGTTGTGTTCCAACAACTATGTACTTCATCCAGAAAAAAGAAATCTGCACTTTAGCAACACATTCCTCTGTGTGCATGTACAGACATTCACTTTATACATACAGTTTTTAAAGCTGAGCACATAACACAGCTCTTCTTTTTACTTTCACACTTCTTCCTTTGGGGGTAGAAGGAACTTAACTGGTTTTTAATTCACCTGGAATGAAATATATCTACATAGTATATAACTCTATGGATAATCATATATCTGTCTACTCATAGTCATAATGTATCTATAGCTACATAAATAATCTGTAACTTCTCAAAGGAACTAAAATACAAAATGGCATTTTGATCAGATGTCCAAATCTTTCTTGCAGCATTGGAATATGATAGATTTTACAGTGCACCTCAATTTCCATTCACTGAGCTCCATGTTTTCCTTGAAATTTAGGCTATCTGAAATCACAGCATTCATATGATCATTAGCTGCTTATTAAAATAAGCTTGTTGGGAAGTTGCAAATCTGGTCAGGTAACATTTCAAGGCTCTGTGTTCCTAATAGCTTACCGAAAGTATGGGGAAGCTGTAAAATTAATTTAAATCATTCTTTCTCCTAACTTACAGGATCTGGGAAAATATTTATTACTAACTCTCAGTTAAGGGTCCTTCTGGTAAAATATATGGAGAATACAATTTCAAAGTGAAACATTTCCCAATGGCTAAATAAGTTTTCCACATGAAGCAACAAATACATGCCTGGTCAGAATCATTATTGACAAATTATCAACTACTTTATGTGCAGGGAGATAAAACAGTTTTACCTGCAAGCTTAAAAAAGTAAAGGCACTAAAAGAACCTACTCTGCTACGAATCCCACCCCTCATACTAAATTTAATTGACTTCACTGCACAGTATTTTTAGAACTGCAAGGTATCTGATACTCCCCAGACCAATACATAATGATGCTTTAATCCTGCTGAGTGAAAGTTCTGCATAGTCAAAGGCATTGCTAAAGCAGCAACAATAAGCAGAGCAGTTACAATTAGGACATATTATATTTGAAATGGAGCATGACAGAGGTCAGCATCCACCTCTTCTCTGAAGAAGGAGACTGAGGCATTTTCCTATCCTGCCCAGCTACATAATGTGACAACACACAGGTAGTTGGTCTGGGAGAGACAGCATTTTTGCCTAAAGATGTATAGGTATTAGTTATGAGCCATGAAGGTTTGGTCACTCCTGGGAAGGGAGTTGTACAAGTAGCTGAGATGTTTTCAAGATTAACATAAAGTCTTTGGTAGCAGAAAAGACAGAAATGGCAAAAAAATAAAGGAAACGTCAGTGTAGGGTTCCCAATGCTGCTCCTCCTGACTGGTATGTATGTGCTTCTTCATGAAGGATTTGCATTCAGGTTGCATTTCCTGCTCCTCTTCACCCACTCTTCCCAGTAACACTCAAGATCATGCCTTGTTTCTAGCCGTGGCCAAAATTGGAAAAACTGGAATTGTGATGGTTATTAAATTGTTCAGATGCAGGGTTGCTATGATTTCAGAATCATACCAACATCCAGGTGTGGAACTGGGAAGTAAATTTCCACCCATTTAGAACAGCAATTTAGTCCCTGGTTGGGTGAACAGCTTCTGCTTCACCTTGTAGTATAGGTGTTGCAACCTTCCCAGAATGAATGAGGAACTTCATCCAATAGATTACCAACCATTTACAAGGACTCATTGCATTGGTGATGTCCTGTATCTCTTATGCCCTTTACTAACAGTAAGTATTTCAGGCATTGACCTCCAGTACAGGTTATCCAAGTTTCATTCAAACAGACCACGAACAGGTAGGGCATGAGGACAGAGCCCACACACCACCTACCTGCTAGCATCTATTTTCTTTTCCTAACATGTCTTATCCAGATGAAGTCAACTCGGTTTCTTCCGAGTTAAACTTCAGTTGCTGTGCCCGGCAATTCTATTGCACCGAAAAAAAAAATCACACTTTTCCATGGAGAAGAAACTGTATTAGAACCTATTCTATGAACTTCCCCTCTCTTATTCTCCATGGTCAGCTGAGGAGTCCTCATTACTTATCCCCTTCACTCCTTCCATTGCAACTAAGCTCAATACAGAAGCTCAGTCAGCACTTAGCTCTGGGATATGCTGTCACAGGATTCTGCCCAGCAACAGATGCAAGACCCAGCCCAACTCCCTCATTATCTCTTCCAGACAGCCCCTCTTCTTGTAGTGCAGGATTCCTGGGGAAAAAATCTGCAGGTTCCTATGGTCTCATACAACCTCAGATTCCTACAACAGATTACACTAAGAATATACTCATGTGTAGCTCATTTATCCTTCACAAACAGGCAAACTAGTGATTCTCTGGACATATGTTACTTCAAAATAACCAACCCCCCCTCCCCTCCCCATAAAGTATGGGAAAGCATACAGCAGGTTTAAATCAGTGCAAAGAGCTTCTTGGCTTTTACATTAAAGAAAATTTTAGTACTTACTGTCACATATAAT